AAAGAAAAAAGAAAAAAAGAAAAAAAAGAAAGACGAGAAATAGAGTTTGTATCACACCTCATTACTGATATCCCTGGCCAATTTAGCATGAGCAGCCTCTTGGGCTAGCTGCAAGTTCATTTGTGCTTCAGCTTCCTCCTCTTCTCGTATTCTTTCCTGTAAATAATATAAAAGTTTCCGTCAGTACATATCTCCATAAAATTTGATGTGCCAGTTGTTCCAAAGAGAGATCAGAGATGGATAAAATGCCAAACAAATCCAAAAAAAAAAACACAAGGCAGATTCACACAAAGTCAATATTCAGGAACTTAACCCAGATGCAGACACACACACACACACACACACACACACACACACTATATTATCAATAAATGAAAAGTTACTAGCCAGCCATCAATTTTTAAAGTTCACCTCTTCTGCAACTTTTGGCAAGAACTGCAGCCACTTCTCCTCAAATTTCTCCAGTAAAGATTTTGCCATGACATGGACATCGCTTTTCTCATCATTATACTTCATCGCATTTTTAAAGACCAAGCGTACATCAGAACATATCTCGCGCACGTGCTTATAACCAGTACCATCTCTGGTTTCCATTTGGTTCTTTATTGTACTGAAATCCATGGGCCTGTCAATAATCTGATAGATCACTTCCAAAGAATCAGTTCATGATACACCCGAACCGCTAAGGTAGCACTTCTTCCAAAATATTACCATAAAATAAAGTTGAAAACGAGTATTTTGCAGTAATTCAAGGATTATTTATTATATATATGATTAACTCTAGGTTGGGGAAATAAATATTATAGATAAAAGACCTAGCGTTTAATTTCTCTTCAGAATGGAATACATTTTTTTTGGGCACCATGGACACTTCACTTTTTCTACTAAGAAATGAGAACTCCACTTTTGCACCATATAATTGAGAAGACAACCACAAAATCAATTGGATGACACAGGGTCATCCAGCATTTGCTACCAAATGAGTCATAGATTATGATATAATATGTCTCCACCTTACCTTACATTTTCTTCATCTATCCTATTTTTAGTATGTACTGAAGGAGAGAAGAGTAAGTATTCCAATCACATGCATTAATAGACACATTTAGGTTGATGTAGCCAAAAGATATTTTGTCCAGCAAACAAGCAACAAGTTGTACCTGATAGTAATCATGCAAACCAAGTCCTTCAACATCTACTGGTTGCATAAAAGGCCATGCCCACTTGTGTTGTGTCATCTATAACACGAAAAGTAGTATATGATTATTGCTTCACAATAGATAATGACATTTAACTTAAGAAAGTTTACAAAATAAATAGCAGCATAAGATATCCTCATAATGGAACACACACTCTCAAATTGCTTGGCCGATCATTAAGCACGGCTAACAGGGGAAAACTGAGAACATAAGCCCATGATAAGGACACGAAAAACAGGCTCCTGGTGAAACAGTTTTAACATGATGTTCTGGTCCAGTGAAAATGAGCCATATTGCTAGGAAACTCATAAGTTGAGCACATTAATTAGAAAAATACATAAAAGCAGCATCCGAGCTTAGAAAATATACAAATCAAACACAATGAAATGCCATGGTTTGGAGACAAAACTTTTCCTCATAGGTCAAAGAGTGTAATGTGTAAAGCAGCAAAACTCAATTCAAGGAACCTGCCTGACGAAATACAGTACCAAACTGGCGCATAAGCTCTTGCATTCTCTTAGCAGCAGCAGCCTCTCTGCGTGAAGCATCCTGCTGTAGCTTCTTCATGCTGGGAATATGTTTCTCCTTCTCTTTGTCCTTGGAACTTGAAGCATTTTTGGAAGTGTTTGTTTCATTTAGTCGTGAGTAAAATTGTTCAACTTCATTCACTCTTTGCTCAAGCTGCAAATTAGAAGAGATTACGGCAGACATATGAATACCATGGTTGTTGCATTTACCTTAATTTGGACTGCTGGAAAGGAGCAAAAACTTACCTTGTCAACCTTCTCAAAAAGTTCATCAACCTTATTCTTATAATCATCAACTTGAGCTGTATTTCCGTCTGTGGTCCTCTGTCCCATATCTGTAGTGTCCTCGTTTGGTACGTATACCAAATCCATCTAAGTGATCCAACACATAATAAAGAACCAAATGAGTTTCATAACCATTATTGTCAATCACTGGTGTAAGGCCTTCGCTGGCAAAAGACTCAGGAGAAATATTAGCACTAGTGAATAAAATGCCAGCGAGGAGAATATATTATGCAGTGGTCATATGCAATGAGACCTCAGCAATCGCTTGCACTAAACACTTATTATTCTTTCCCCTATTCAGTTTTTGTTCTGTCTTTCTTTAATCATTTAAACTTTCACTGTAACTAAATTATATTCTAAAACCATGAGTCATGGCACAAGCCTCTTACAAAGAAATAGTCCATGATCTATCAAAACATAACAGTACAAACACTGAAAGACCACATCAATGATAAAATTCCTATTAACTAACGAGAAAATACTCAGAAATTGAATTCGAAAAAGAATATAGGATTGTTCGAAGAAACTCAAGCCAATCTCGATATTGAAAATGAACACCTCCAATCCACACAAATAAGTAACTGAAATTGAAAATCAAAATCAAAATCAACAATCTATCTACGCCATTTTCCAGCTTTTTGATGCACAAAGCATTGAATACTCACTGAAATTGAATACTATTTGCCTTTCAACCACTGCAAGCTAACTAAATCACAGATACTTGTTCCATAAAATTCTTCAATCTTATTCGAACCAGCTACATTCGAAGCTCAAAAACTAAAAATCGGATTTCAACAAAACATCAAACTATCCATTCGGACTTCAGCAGAACAAAATATCTTCAGCAGAACAGGAGAAGTATACACTGAATTCACAAGCAATTACAAGCAGAGAGAGAGAGAGAGAGAGAGAGAGAGAGAGAGAGAGAGAGAGAGAGAGAGAGAGATGCGACACCTTGTCGAGGCACTGTTGGGGCCGGCGGCCGGCCGAGACGAACAGCAAAGGCGAGCAGAAGGTAGTTTGCGGCAGTTTTAATATATACAGTCTAGAAAAAAGCGTTATGTTATTAAATGTTGCGATTTTAGGGGTTGTGGGGGGGATGAATCAAGGTTTTTACCAAGTTTGTAAATTAAACCTTCTAACACAGTAAATGAGGCAGCTGAGTTTTGTGAGATTATAAATATTTTACGAATTTTTATTATCTTGTTTGTTGATAATGGCATCAATTTCATCGGTTTTGCTATGAAGCCAACAATTGGCTCCATAGTGAAATCAACATTCTATTTGAATTAAGAACAAAAAAAGATTCGTCTTAAACAACTTTAAATAAGTCACAAAAAAAATATATTATTAATAATATTTAAAGTAACACTGATCACTTAAACGACTTACACTTCGAATATTGTTATCGTTTTTCTAATTCATATTGGATGATAGACTTGATAGAAAATTTTATTTACTCGATAGATAGTTTTATTATATATTAATATTGACAAATAATTAATTATTATTATGAAGGTGAAAGTATATTTATTTATATATGTATGTCAAATCGAAACTTGTAAAACATTGATCAGTTTAATATATAATATATAAAAATTTATAAAAGATTATTAACTTTTGAAATATATTTATAATTTAAGTTAGTGTTTTAAAATTTTAATGATCATGGACGGAAGTTCAAGTTATACAAGTATTTAACTATTTAATTGTTCATCTCAAATTTATTCTATAGTATTGTAATTGTATGTTTAAACTATTTTGTGTCGATAATGAGGCGTGCAATGAATAAATTTTCATGTCAGCAATGGGGCTTATTTAAAATAATAATAATTATTATTATACATGTCTCGTATAACTGTAAGGATGATTTAATAAGTATCGCGAAAATTTCAGAATCAACAAGTGGGTTGTTGAAAATGCTTAGTATTTAATATAACAGAAATCCCATTATAAGTCCCTACCATATGGTAAGAATATGAAATTTAGACGATGAATGAAGACACGGACGAGATGTAAGAGGAAATTGTTTCAATTTCTTGAAGTTAAACGAACCAAATCACTTGGGATAAAAAATGAGAGGACATATTAGTTATTTATAACTTATGCAATTTATATTTAAATTTAATGTACTTTGATCAAAGGTCACGCAGAGAATATTTAGTTTGGAGCTTAGGTATTATTGAAGACTTGATTACTTTCTTTCTCAACAAATCTAAGCCCATTCTGTTGGCCAGAAGAAAATAAATAGAAAAATTTGTCGCCCCATCTTCTTCTTGATCGACCTACAATAGTATGCCACCATTCTGGGCCATGGTTGGGCCAACGATACATCGTTTCTTCATCACTCCATCTGCTCGCCTTGGTTTGGGGCATGGTCGGCGGCGGTCCTTCAGCCGCCCTCTTTCCGGCATGGGTTGGGGCTGATGATGGAGGCTCCTGTTGGTGAGGCTTGAGGCTTCTTTGGCTTCCGATCACTCCCAGGTCAAGGGGCTTTTGGGAACGCAACTATGGGCGTGAGTCTCGTCGTCGTGACAGATCTACATAACCATTCGAGTTTGATCTGAGCTTACAAGTTTGAGCGCTTTAGATTTGTTGGTCTCTCTTGGTCTTGGTTCGTAGACTGACGTGCGTGCTTGGGAAAAGTAGCTGCTGCAGAAGCCAATAAGAAGAATGTGAGGTTGCACTTTACGTTTGTTTGTAGGTGTGTTTTTTTTTGTATGTTTGGCAAGTCCTGATTGTGTGTGGGTTCTAGTCTCCAATGCTTGGATTTTTTTTTCTTCCTTTTCGAAGTGTTTTAGTTGTAGGTTGTATCATTAGCGGTCTGTGTAAGCCCAATGGATTTGGGTCCAGGTTTTGTCATGGTGTTTGTGATGTCAATTGACATTTCGAATGTACTTTTTTTAACGGAACGATAGGAAGATCTTATATTCACAACATAACCGAGACTAGAGAACAAGTACTCAGCCGAATATACAACCAACGGCCGAATAAGCTGGACAACTGACTTTAGTAGAGAGGACTACACTTACAGTGGTAGCATAGAGTCAACCTACAATACAAACACACCTAAAAAAAGACACAACTAAAAATCTCTCCAAAGGAGAATAAACAATAGTTTCCAACAGAAGAATACACAGAACACACTCCCAACATGAGAGAAAAAAGATGCAACACAAACGAAAACAACAAAAACACTAATAGCACACACAAAACAAACACTAAAGTAACCTAACAAAAACAACTAAATTAAAGCACTCCTCTACCGCCGACATGCAACACCACAAGCTGCCACACAATCAACCACCACGAGCCACCACTCCACTGTCTGAGACCAAGTCCAGAGCCAAGCCTGAAACTGCATAAAATGCCTAACAAGACCCAACCCCCCAAACCATGTCTCAAAAAAGTGGACCTCCCTCTGGCCAACACGCCCAGATCAACCCCAAACACAACCCCCCTAACCAGCAGCCAAGAGTCGAACAACTCTCGAGGCCACCGACCCACATCACCAGTGGAGCCTATCGCCTAGCCCCAGGTACAACGGGAAAACAAGAGAGGAGCTGAGCACCAAAGGGCCCAAACATGAACCCCCATCATCCATTCGCAACACAAGCCGACACGCCACCAGAGTTGAACCACCCACCACCGGAATAGGCCCACTCCCAGCCCAGGGGGTGACGGAAACAGGGGAAAGAGGGACTAACCAGGTCTTCGACCACCACCTAGTGCCCAAATGGAGAAACCCCACCCAACACTGCCAACTCTCCATCGGCGCTGCCTCATACCGAGTGGGAAACCAAAGCAAATTCGGTGGTGTCCCGACCAGCTGAGAGGCCCACGGATTGAAGGCATGCCAGAAGCACCAGACAACGGGGGCAGCCGCATAGCGACACGACACGGCCCACGCAGTGGAGGCACGAGCGACTCAATGGAATGAGAAGGGAATTAGAGAAATTGGGGAGAGAGAAGGGGATAATTAAAACTATAAGAGAAGGGAATTAGAGAAATTAGGGAGAGAGAAGGGGATAATTAAAACTACTCGAGCAGCTCAATCGAATGTACTTGAGTTTATATATTATTATTGTTTGTAAAAAAAGACAATAATTAGTTTTTTTTTTTCCAACACAAATATTATTAAATTAAATTCAAACATAATGCTACCACTAACCAACTGGTTACAAGGAACATTCTAACTATCAAGTGACAAAGAAACGAACCATATAGGAGTCTTTTTTAGCATAAGAGATATCCTTCAACCGGAATCAACCTTAACACAAACTCCGAAACAAACGGGACAAATACTCCAAAATGGAGGTTAGGCTACTCCATAAAGGAGAATAAAGTACCACCAAGCGAAACTAACAACCAAACAAACAACAAAATATAAAAATAAACAACTAGCAAAACACCCAAGAAACTAGAATAAAAACTAATGCCCTCCTCGACAACCCACAATCTCGACTCACAACACATAGAAGTGTCGACCTCCTCCCCGACAACCCACAATTCGGCTCACAACACATAGAAGCATTGACCTTCAGGACAACCAAAGGGAAAGGAAACGTATCACTATGACAAAAAAACTCAATCATGGGCACTCAAAATTCTACACTTCAAATGGCTAGAGTTAAGACTACTCAAATATAAAGTCAACAAGCTGGATCCACTTTTCAAACTCACTAACCAAATGGCTGGCGACAACCAGATAAGAGGTACACTGACACCATCTCATCAATTGCGACACGTGACCACCGACCACCGAGAGAAAGATGGGACCAATCTCTGTCGCAATTGGTACCAACAATTGGCTCGTCGAAAGCCGTACGCACAAAATGAGCTATGATACCAACGCCTAAATTGGCAACTCCCCGGCCGGAGTGGTTGGTTGAACCGAAGACGGCTAGGGTTGCAAATGACCCAAGTTGAGTCGAGCATTGGCATTATCGATCAAGATTAATTTTGTTTTTAGCTGCTCGAGCTCGACTCGATAAGAAAATACAATAGCTCGAGCTCGACTAGAAAATTTTTAAGTCAAATTACCATTAAACACTTGTGTTATACTATTTAAATATATATATAAGGGACATTTTAGTAATTTAATATATATATCGAGCCGCTCGACGATGCAAAATGGGCTCGAGCTCGACTTGAGTTCGTGCTCGAGCCGCTCGAGCTCGACTCGTTTGCAACCCTAGTGACGACCATCCTATCATCATCGTAGGTAAGAAATAGACAAACATAAGACACAACTGACAACGTCAACGAGGTCTACGCGGCTGAAGAGGAGAGGGGATTCTGGCAGCACTGACACCCCTTGGGCAGGGCTAGGCAGGGAAAATGGAGACGAACGAATTAAAATTGCAGATCTTATTTTTGCGTGTAGAGAGAGAACGAATTGAAAAATGGCATGTGAAGTTAATTATGGTGTGATTTGATATGAATTTGTTGGTTTTAGATTTTTTTTTTAACCATAGTTAATTTTAAAAAAAGTGGTAAGACTAGTTGTTAGTGAGAATGTTAAAATAAATATTTAAAACAAAAATAATAAAAGATAATTTGATGTAAAAAATAGAAAAAATAATTTGAAGTGATGATTAATTAAATTTACGTGAGTAGATAAATAGTGAATTAAGTTGATGTGATGTGTGAGAATAATTGGTTGTTGTTATTTACATATTTTGATAATATTGTGATTTACTTAAATTGAGTTAATTTTGAGTTTTAATTAATTTTTTTTTCTATTATAGTGTCAATATTCAATCACACACATACTGAAAACTGTTATAATCACCAAAAAAAAA